TATCGATTTTTAGATTTATACATAGTTAGATAGCCCATAATCTCTACTTTCGAATGCACTATAATTTATTGGTTTTATGATGGTTTTTGAGGGTTTTACAGCGGTTTTTCTGAAGACCCCTGCATCAATAAAGTTTTTTTTTTCGAGACTTCAGTTATTAAAGTTATTAGAACCTTTCTATACGTTTGGAAAAAAGTACGTCGTACATGTCTCTCTATGTGCTCATTCGATTCGCCATAGTCGATAAACTATAATAAACTGCCTTCTTGTTTATTCACTACCATTTTTAAACGAAAAAATCGCGATAATCAAAGAAAAAATTGTTTTGTGTTTTTCTCGAAACTGTTTTTTTTCGTTTTCTTTGACTGTGTGTCAAAGATTTCTCCACCATTTTAAATGTTAGAATGCTCGAAAAGGTTTTAAAATGAAGGTAAATATCAGTGCTACAACCTAACAAAGCCAGAATTTTTGTTTTCAATTTATTTGTTTACAAAAAACTCGAGTTTTCTAAAAAATTGATCTAGGTTTTTCGAAAAAACTGTCTAAAAAAATTAATTTTTTTTTTTCAAAAATCCGGCTTTGTTAGGTTGTAGGGGCAGGTCTTCTTTACATTTTGACACCATCCCGAGGTCCGTATCACTAAAATTGAAAACAAAATCTTTGACACACAGGCACCTACTTTTGACCCTTAATGTTACAATAACTCGCGAAAAACTCAATATTATGAGCTCAAATTTTTACTGAGAACTATCAATGGTCAGATACATATTCAATAAAAATTTCAGTAAGATTGAGTGTTCTGGGAAAAAAAACTTAGAGGGGTTGGGGGCCCTTAACATATGTGTATCTTTATTGCTATTCTTTTTAGAAAAAGATAATTCTTTGTATTTATTTTACAGAGACTGTTAATCTATTTATTTATCATATCACTTTATAGATCCTTTTATTAGTCTGTGTGTATTGAATAAAATTTATTCATCATCGGTCAGCATATTTCCGCTAATGATCTTTTATTCGCTCAATATTCTTTCGACATTTTAACTTTCGCACTTTTTCTTTTTTCTCCATTTTTCCTTTCTATATTTTTTCTTCGACGTTTCATCATTCGACATTTTTTCTTTCTGTCTTTTTCCACCATACCAAAGAAACTATTGTTATGATCTGCACCTTGTTCAGATGCAGTCGTAAGGAATTATCTGTATCTTGTATAAGAGTATACTTTTGAGTTCGTTTTCTTCGTCTTTTTTTTTCTTATTGTTAGTCAAGTCTCATGGATTTTTTCGTTTTCTCTATATACATCGAAATTTTCCATTTTCATCATTTGTTCGAATTTTCTAACTGTTGTTAACACCTAATATATGTAGTCGTCATTGTTATAAAAAGTAAAAAGACTTGTTTTCTGTAAAAAAAAGTATAACAAAAAAGTGTAAGTGGGATTGAGATCTCACAACTGTAATATGTTTTATCTGATGAAACACATTGCATATCATTGAAAGAAAATATAAATGTCAGTGATGTGTGGTATGTTTCGCTGATGGAGCATTCGTGTGGTATATTTCAAACTTTCGAGAAAAGGTGAGCAGCTAGAAGATTTACTCATCTTCACCAGTGAAGACAGAACCATGTGACGAAAGAAACAAACGATTAAAGTTTATGCCATATCGGCGAAGAAATGTAGAGTTAGTACAAAAATATAGAACTATTTTCAAAAAGATGAGGAGGTTTAGACATTTTCAAGGAAGTAAAAATGAAGAAGATTATAATACTGTTATATGTCCGACATTATTTTCATTGCAGTTAAAATAATCCTATCGTATCCTAGGGTTTTTAGCAATTATTAACTAGATGTGGTTTTCCAGAAAGCCAGGACTATTTTCGGAATCCTCATAAGGTTTTTCACGATTTCGAGAGTGGAAGGACACACTTGAACTCCTTTTCCAAAGATTTCGAACGGAAAAGCCTAGAAGTTGTGCACTTCTGAATGGGAATTCCCTGATTAAAGTTTCTAATTAGCAAAAAATTAATTAATTAGACAGGGATCTTCTAATATGGGCAGAGGTTTACTTCATTTTCTACTGTAAGTTATATTTTCGTTGAATTCGTGCTAAATTTGAAAATAAAAATCTATGTTATGAAAGAAAATTGACTGTACTAGGCGATCCATAAGTAAGGAAAAGGAGAAAGAAAATAATTATCTCTATGACGACTTGACTAAGTGAGTTCATTTTTATACCAATACTAGAAACCTGTTCTCATTCTAAATCGATACGAGTAATGTGTGTGTGAGTGTGGGTGTCGGCGTGAGTGGGGTGTGGGTGTGAGCGTGGGGTGTGAGTGTACGTGGGCGTAGATGTGAATGATGAGATACCAAAGACCCACACCCACAGCTACAGACACACCCTACAGCCACAGACACACCTCAGCCACACCCTACCCACATCCACGTACCCGCCCACCCACACCCTTGATTCAGCATCGTAAAATATGACTCAGGACATACCTGTAATTTCACAATCTATCGTCAATTGCTGCATGCAGTGAAATGATATATAAGAAAGCCATATCGACAGGAATAAGGTCAGTTGAAATCTGGAGATTGTAAGTTGTGATTTTGTTCTCCTACTAGACATTCTATCAGACAAAACTTTCAATGTCGAATGTCACTATTATGGTGGAAACAGCTGCAATCAGTAAGAATAAGATATACTTGGACTATATTAAACAAGCTGCAGTTGGAATCTTAATGGGTGCTTTGCGAACTGTGGCTGGAAATTGAAAACTTACACCAAATGAATCATTGGCTGTGTTTTTTCATTCAGCAAATAAAAATCAGTCAATGAGTTTGATGTTTGATCTGTTAAAAGGATATATTCAAACGTGCTGTAATGAATTCTGTTGGCTATATGAAGATGTTTATATTGAAGCGAGAATTCCTTTGAAAGAAGCTTTAGATTTAAATGGTGCTCATTATGTTTTCAGTCATTTCAATAAAATATTTGAAAACAGTCGTTCAAATACTACTGCTGGTCCAAAACATCTCAATTGTCTGGCCATTTTCACAGCATTGAATTATATGCCATTGCTTTTTCAAACAATTTTAACTCTTTATGAAGAACATCAAATGGTAGGAACAAGAAGTAGTCGAGATGGAAATTGGAGCGAAGCAGAAAAAAATGTGATTCGTGTGTTTTTACAAGGAGTTGTTCAAAAAGCAACTGACTGGTTAAATGTAAATAAGCAAGAAGAATTAAAGAAAATGCCATTTGTTTGTAAAGAAGATGAAAGCTGTAATCAAAACTGGGATTTGTTTAATTTTCCTAAAGACAAACAGGCAATAGCTGTTCAAAATATAAAAAAACTCTGGAATGAACTTCAAGAAACTCAGCAACAATAAAAACTGAAGAAAGACGATTAAATTCTAGTGCCACACTGTTTTTATGTCATTTTTTAGAGTTAGACTTTGTCATTGACATGCAATATTTTCGAAGCTTTTTATAAAATAACGGGAGATCAATTACTGTCAACGCCAAAGTACCAATTCTATGCATTTTCAGAACTCTAAGTACATTAGATAGTTACCGTGCATAATACATAATTTTGTTTCATACTTACCACCAATATTCAAAGAACATTCGTTACTACTTTGAAGCTTTCACACTTCATGATCTTTTCTGTCATTAAACTCTGGTTCTTTTTTATTTACCTTTCTTCTGTTGAATAATTTAAAATAAACAACGCCTTTGTATCGAAATACGATCAAACTCATCCACAAACGAATGAGTTTTTCATACAAACTCATGATTTCCGAGCACCATCAGCAGAGAGATATGCGCTAATGTGCATGATAAATCTTTCGATAACTCCCTTACCCTCACGAGAGAACTTGTGTGTGTACTTATAGTGATGCCAAATCTAGAAAATTTCACGACAAGAATATCAATTCAAACGATTTTTTTCTAAAAGTTGAAGCAATTCCTCAAAAGATGTTCTTCGATTGTTAGAATCTGTTTTGAAACGATTTTAGTTCTTGTGAAGAAATTTTTCGAACATTTTTGAGATCTCGCATCACTCAGAAGTGTGGATATGGGTGTATTGCATGGGTACTTATTCAACTCACAGTCACGCCTACACCTCTGCACGCTAACTTCGAATTTAGCCTGGCCTACCGGCCTGGAAAAAGTGACCTATTGGCAGCTCTGATAAGGACATATGATATTAACATTAGAATGATCACATATACAATAGTACAAATCGAAATCATGCTTAATTATATAAAATAATCTTTATGTGGTAAGAATTCTCGAACATAAGTCTTTCGATCTTTGTGTAAATTCATTCGATATAGATTACTATGTTTCAATAAAATTATTGTACCAATTGTGTGTATGCATTGAACAAGATCTTCTTAGATGTAAATGGTGACACACTGTAGAAATTATATTCATAGAAAATACATCATCGATTCACCATCATATATAACTGTCTAAAACAAATATCATCATAATAATAGAAATAAGAACAGCATAACAAGCAGATAATGTACGCATCTTATTTCTTCTCTTATGTTAGTCATAATATATCTTCATATAGAAATGAAAACAAATCTTAAGAAAAAAACTTGATCGTTTGTTGAACGAGCGGTATCAGTAAGACATTTGCTTCATTTTACATTTTATTTACATGAGAAAATTCTGTCATAATAGATTGCTGTTCAGTCGATCAATATTATTTGAGCACTTGAAACAATTAGTTGTTGAAAAAGAAATTTTCAGAGAACATCACTTCTGTATTGAGTTAAATATTTCAGTTTGTTTGATAATTTCCTTACAAATATCATTCAATCTTGATTTAATATTTAGAAATAAAAAAAAATCATTTATAATTTTCAATGGATTGAAACTTATTATTATCTATTTTAATGAATATTTATTCAATGACAATTCTTTCTATGAAAATAACATTATTCTGAATAATAAGTAATACTTCTTTTAAAAACTATTTCATATCAATGAAGTTTTCATATATAAAAGATCATAATAGGACGACAAGGTCATCTATAGATAAAAGAGAGAGAGATAGAATGTTATTTCACATGTGCATTACATATATATGAGTGAATTGCAACTTTTTGGTGCGATTGACGAGAAAAGATGAAAATGAACCTAAACAACTTTTGAGTTGTGCATCTTATTAGGCTCTATACCTGTAGTATACAGCAAAAGTTTCCCAACACTTTACCGCATATTAGCTGAGATACGACTTACTTCAACGTAAATGTAATATAAAATAAATGCGGAAACTTCGGATTTAAATCCAAGAGTTATGTGTACTTCAAACAGTGAATTATACAAATCAGTCATCCTATGAATGTGTGAACATCAAAATTACACTGCGGAATCTATCATTTAAAACGCTGATTCCTATAGCGCTTTGTCAAACCAATAGGGCTTGGGACCAAATACAGCTCAAATTTGAACTCTTTCCCTTGATTTACCCTAAGAAAGTGTTTTTTCCTATAACTTTATTTCTATTGGTCACTGCTCAACCAATAGTCTTTTGATGGAAGTGCAGTACACATTCGATTTCTCCATCTCTGAAAATCTCGAAGTATCATCACTGTGATCGAAAGATAGAGCTCGATTTGTGGATAAATTAGATTGTGGACCAAAATATAACCTAGTTCTCTTTAATTATCCTTGTGATAGGTGAGTCAGCCTTCTTGCTTCTTTATGTTTGATATATTATTGTGTAGCTCTTGAAATTCTCTATCGAATGGTATATAATAGTTGGAATTTTTGTTTGAGTATGATTGGAAAAGTCTTTTACGAAAGCGGCGATGCGTCGACTATTCCATACGAAGCCATAAGAAAAAATGGGTATTTTTGTAATAACTCAGGAACGGCTCGGCCGGGGTGCGGGTGTGGGGTGAGGGTGTGGGTGCGGGGTGAGGGTGTGGCTGTGGGGTGAGGGTATGGCTGTGGCTGTGGCTGTGGCTGTGGCTGTGGCTGTGGCTGTGGCT